CAGGACGGCTTGCCATCATTGATGGAACAATGAATTCTTAATTATACCAGCAAATTCTGAAGGAAAATGTCAGGGCATCTGTCCGAGAACTGAATCTCAAGAGAAAGTGGGTCATGCAGCAAGACAACGACCCCAAGCACACAAGTCGTTCTACCAAAGAATGGTTAAAAAATAACAAAGTTAATGTTTTGGAATGACGGAGTCAAACTCCGGACCTTAATCCAATTGAAATTTTGTGGAAGGACCTGAAGCAAGCAGTTCAAAGGAGGAAACCCACCAACATCATAGAGTTGAAGTGGTTCTGTACTGAGGAATGGGCTAAAATTCCTACAAGCCGTTGTGCACGACTGATCAGCAGTTACAAGAAACGTTACTTGCAGTTATTGCTGCAAAAGGGGGTCAGACCAGATACTGGAAGCAAAGATTCACATACTTTTGCCACTCAGAAATATTTAACACCAGATCATTTTTCTCAATAAATAAATGACAAAGTATATATTTTTGTCTCCTTTTTCTGATTGGATTATGTTTGTCTACTTTCAGGATTTGTGTGAAAATCTAATTATGTTTTGGGTCATATTTATGCAGAAATATAGAAAATTCTAAAGGGTTCACAAACTTTCAAGCAGCACTGTATATATATATATATATATATATTTGTTCCAGACTGCAAACAGCTTAATGGGTCAGAGTCGAAGATGTCAAAAAATTGGATTTTTAATGCCTGTCTGAACAAAACCTTGGTTTACCATTCCACAAGAAGATTAATTACTTTTTCAATTTCACACTCTTTCCTACACGTTGTACTTTCCCATTTATCGGTGAGCATCATCACACATTTTCATTTGATCCGCTCTGCGCCTTACATCTCTTTCATCAATACCAGTTTGTCAATCGAGAAAATTCACAGAGCTGCACAAAGGTCAGAGTGAGCCGTGAACGGCACCGCAGCTCCACTTCTCCGCTCCCCTGGGCCTGTACGGCCTCCTCTAGCAGGAAGGACAGCTAATTGTTAGCGATGTATTAAAGAGCGCGACAGGGCTTTGTTGAGCTAACAGATATCAATACTGGTAAGCCTCAATCTCGACGGGCCGAGTGCAGCTGTGAAAGGTGATGGGAGTGGAATGGACAGAGCTGTCTCGACGAGCAGAAAAAAGGCTGATTTCTCTTACCAATCCATTTGTCATTTCCGTACCAGGACAGGTTGCCTTTTGTGCTGTCATAGTATCCAATCTTCTTGTAGCTCCCACCTGAGGGAAAAAAGCAAGAAGTTAAATGAAAGATGAGAAAAGCCTGAAAGAAAAGTGTATTTGAAACCACTTCTCATGCTGAAGTCTTCTTCAGCCTCAGCCTCAATGTAATGATATTTTAAAAGCTTGTATTAAAAGTTTTCTTGTGTAAATATAGCATCTAATTAACAGTGTGTCAACTAAAGGTCACATTAAGAAAACTTGCTTGCACTAAGCACTGCAATAAAAGCTTCAAAAGAGGCCTGACTCGACAAATCTGAAAAAGTAGTCGACTTATAGCTGCATCAATGGGTTGAAGATTTTAAAAAAAAAGCCCAACTGCATTGATCAAAGTTAATCTGAAAGGGAACATATTGTAGAAAAACTTTGCTCTTTGGAAATCATTGATGTACTATGTAGACAAACTTTCACAACACAAAAATGTGTCTCTCACACCAGTTCAAACCATTCATTGAAACTAAACAGGAAATATGAGACATTCAGATATCTTTAACACTAAAATATGACCGCAGACACAGTGAAGTAATGAGGAGGAAATAAATGGGCTTTTCTTTAACTACAGGCAGTTTAGGCCCTGTGGACTTTTAGAAATGTTATTTCAAACATAGTCACTTTTCACACTGTCACTAGTTTAATTTGTCTACTAATAATGTCCAACAGTGGACATCCATACATCATAGAAGAATTTTGTTTTTTTCCTTCACAGTGTAATTTACACAACAGCTCAAATTATGCATTCAATAGCACTCTTAGTTGGCCTTTTATTTCATGATTCATATTATTCTGATTATCCAAGTAAAGTTTTAAAAAATATATATATGTAAAATATGTGAATAAGTATAAGAATATAAAATATAAGAATACTTTATTTATAACAGCAGAATTGTGTGGATGAAATGTCGTCATGGTTGTTACAATCATAATCTTTGAAAAAACTGTCATATCATTTTCACATAAAAATACTAAAAATGCATACGTTTACTGGTTATTCGGTGCAAGAAAATTTTATTAATGTCATAAGTGAACAGTCAACAGAACAGACGAATATACAATACCATAAAAATGTAGGATGTGAACCTTTAAAATGCATTTAAGTGCAATACTGTTATTATCATTATCTTCTATCTTTTTCGGTTTTGTTTGTACCTTGCAGTTGCTCAATGAGAGTCCAAGCCATACGTGAACCTTGAGCATCAAACACGACATGACCCTACGAGACACAAATGAATAAATATAAATAGTTGAAGATGTTACATCAATACAAAATCATCATTTATGAGATCCATTTGTGACTCATTATAAAAACAAAAATATAAAAGGCTAAAATCAAGGGAAAATAAAGGCTGCATCATCCTATAATGTGTTTGAAGATTCATTGTTATCATAAAAATGTGATCATCTGAGACTGATGATGTCTCTGCGATTTTAAGACTCTCTGACAAGTCTGGGAAACTATCTTCTGGAGTATTTTATCTCAATGTTATTTGACAGCTATTTTTCATCAACTCACAGACACTCCTTCAAATGAGCTGGTGTTGAGGGCTCGGTAAATCTCAGCAGTGATTTCCTTGTTGTTGTAGTTGAAGTCCTCTAATGTCCAGCCTTTGGCCCTCAGGGGGGCCACCGTTTTATTGAGGGCCAGTGCAAGAGCCCATACAGCATCATACGCCAGCGGAGCTTCCTGAAATCCACCCGTTTCTTCTGGGTTCTTCCCCCCAAGACGTGACATCAGCTGGGCCAGGAACTCTTGGGAGGTCTGTGAAGGGTTTTTGAAGGATTTATGATCCCATCGTGAAATTTTTATAGACAGTTTTTACGTCTATAAAAATTCTGTTTTTATTCACAATTTGTACAGTGTCCCAACTTTTTTTGGAATCGGGTTTGTACTTCAATCATCTATTGTCAATATGAATTAGTCTGAAAGGGATAGTTCACCCAAAAATGAAAATTACTAGGTGTATATGACGTTCTTCTTTCAGACAAATACAATCGGAGTTATATTAAAGAATGTCCTGGCTCTTCCAAGCTTTATAATGGCAGTGAATAGTGGTCAAGATTTTGAAGCAAAATAAAGTGCACAAATCCATCATAAAAAATACTCCACACGGCATTTTTGGGTGAACTATCCCTTTAAGATCCACTCACCAGGTTGGAGGCACCGCGGACGGTCTCCGGGTTTAGCATTACGATTTCAGTGGTGACGTGCCCTTCCACAGCTTCCGTCATGTTCTCCACTGTGCAATTGATGGCTGGATCTTTGATCTTAAACCAGTTGTCTGCATACCAGCCGATGAGGAACCATACGTACTTCTTACCATAGAGTTTCTCTTTGAAGACCTGCCAAAGATGAAACCATGTTTTGACGGTTTGTGCAAAAGCAATAATCTTATTCAATATTTTAATCTCTGTTAAGCCTCCGAGTTAACGCAAGCGGAGTAGAAACATCGAACTGAATAGAGTTGAATTGATATAAATAAATTGACAGCTCAGATGTACTTGTAAAAAGAATTGTAATTGTCACTTGCCTCACAAAACACCTTTCTGGCTTCAGTCTCGTAAAAGAGGCCGACTATGATTCTAGCATCTTGACGCTGGAGACGTATTAGAGAAAAGAAAACAAGACACAGAAACATCACACAATGTGACATGTAGTAAAGTGTCACTAGGCCTTACATCCAATGTTTTAGGCACAATCCCAAAATTAGCATAAAAATATGTGGATGTGACCAGCATAAGATATTTGAGAATCTATTACCTTTTTTTTTTTTTTCACCATTTTCCCTGGAAGTGACGATTTTGCTCTCTTGAAAACGCAAGGCTTTATGCATGCATTGTTTGCACAATAATCTGATATTTTTGCATAGATTAAATTCGCAGCATGAATGGAAACACAGCTACTGACAACTAATGATTTATTATTTATAATGACTTTACCACGATTTGTTGATTTATTTTAAATTTATACTAATACAAATTACGAAACTCATAGTTCCAAATAAAATAAATTCTATGCTTTCGCTAAGAATATGTAAAATTATTAAATATAAATATTACTATATAACATTTATTATATTAAAATAATATGTATTATAATTATATAAATTATGATTTGATAAGCTGCAGTAAATGCTGCTCTGTGTATTGCCTCCAACAGCCTACAGATTGCAAACAGCCTACAGATAATGAACTACATTACTTGCTAGGATCATTTTTTATTTTGATATTTATTATAAATATGACTCCCTATTGAACATTACTATATAAAAGCAATACGCCACATGACTATGTGGGTTACAGTGATTTAACCATTTGTAAGAACACTTCTTGTGACTTATTGCTTTAATTTACTCTGTTTGTGACATGCTTTAAAGGTGAAGTGTGTAATTTCTGCAAAATTAGCGGAACCAAACGGAATTGCAAAAATAATGCCCATTTTCAAAAAGCTGTCCTAAACACTTTCAAGGATTCCTTACAGTTGTCTCTGCATAATAAGATGGGAAAGGAAAATGTATTGTAGCATTGAAAAAAAAATCATGCACATTAAAACATTTAAGATTTTATATATTGGCTGAATTATATAAGACTAGGCATATGCCAAAATATTGTAAGCCAACCATTTAAAAAGACAGTCTCATGAGATCTACATGCAATATCATTTTACAATAAAAAATGCTGTCTAACTACTCAATAACAACTGTCAGTAGCAACCGAGATAGTATCCAAACCGTCACTTGATCTGACAGAGGGGACCGATTCTTCTGAGTGTTGATTTATTTCACATAAGACTTTCATGCGCTCTGCCTGCTAGCTACCCAACACAGGCTGAAGAGAGGAAGTGAGCGGCTGGTGAATTTTTCATCAAAGCACCTTCAAGTTTTTGACAGCCACTGCGGGATCCGTGAGGAAGCTCTGTCTAACGCTTATCTCAATGCCGGCCTCCTTCACACGCTCCTCCAGATCATCCAAAGTCTGGAGAGAGAAAGAGAGAGTGGTGAGACAGCAGGAGTGACAGGACAGGAGTGATGTTTGAGGAGAGCGGAGGACAGACAGGAACAGCGCACATGAAAAGATCAAGGAGCGAATGAAAGAGAAGAACAAAAGGAGGCCATGAGATGAATGGTCAAAGCGCAGACCAAAGTAAGAAAATGACAAAGTAAAGGAAATAGAAAAAAGAAAACTGTCCAGAATGAAAGGTAGATGGAAAAAAGATGGTGATATGATCCCCATTCCAAAACCAAGTGACCATTTTAAGGCGATATAAGTGGACTCCGGAAACAAAATTATTATCCAAAAATAATATTATTATTATTATATATTATCCTTTTTATAATATATAAATAATAATAAAACAAATACTCATAATTAATTTAATATATAATAGTATCATAAAGTATCATTAAAAATAAAAAGATGTATTAACTATAATATAAAGATCAGGGTTATTATTATCATTAACTAAAACTAACACCAAATGCATAAAAAAAACATTTTCATTAAATTAATCATATTTCAGTTTCCAAAGCAACATTTCTTAGTTACGCTAAAATAACACAGATAAAGATATATACAGTGGGGCAAAAAAGTATTTAGTCAGCCACCAATTGTGCAAGTTCTCCCACTTAAAAAGATGAGAGAGGCCTGTAATTTTCATCATAGGTATACCTCAACTATGAGAGACAAAATGAGAAAAAAAAATCCAGAAAATCACATTGTAGGATTGTTAAAGAATTAATTGGTAAATTCCTCGGTAAAATAAGTATTTGGTCACCTACAAACAAGCAAGAGTTCTGGCTCTCACAGACCTGTAAGTTCTTCTTTAAGAGGCTCCTCTGTCCTCCACACGTTACCTGTATTAATGGTATCTGTTTGAACT